ATCAATCTCTTCGTTGTACATTTTACTGTTTACTTACTATTTTTCACATTTTAATGGCTGTTGAAAACATTTATTGCTGATCTCTGAGTTTTATCGCACATAATTTTCGAGCTGGATTGTTTATCAAAGGCGCGTTTTCGATATACTGTAACGAACAGCATTACTCATTTACACAAACGCCATGAGTTGGACGTTCTTCTAACGCTCTTTTAGTGAAAAGCATCAAAGGCAAAAGCTGGTAAATCAGCGACTCGCCATATTGCCGGTTGGAAAAATTGCCAGTATATACACACCAAAGGGCAAAGGACAGCTTTTCCAAGCAAATACCCTGCTTGGCCTTCAAAATAGTGTTTGCATACAAAATATTTATAATAGAAAACTGCAGACAAATAAGAAAAATAATACATCTTGAATGTTTTTGCATATTACATTTGAAGTCACTTCTCATAGCTTTACAGTCACTCCTCGGCGGGCCTTGCAAACACAACATTTAACCGGAAGTTGTAAATTACAACATCATATTTCAACCACCCTCCCCTAGGATCTCTTGTTGCCCTAATTTTTAGGAGTTCACGTGACCAGAGGGAACCAGGGTCTTTGCTGTAGTGCCGTGCGGAAGTAAAAGACCCTGGCTTGCGAGGTTGTCGGGATACTAGTCCGTTGTATAGTGTTGTATAGTGTCATATAGCCTTATATAGATCATAGTGTTGTATTTTGTCCTATAGTGTTGTATAATCTTGTATAATGTCATATAGTCTTGTATAATTAACATTGTGTAGTATCGTATAGCCGTATATAGTGTCATATAATTAACATTGTATAGTATCGTATAGCCTTGTATAGTGTTGCATAACGTTGTGTAGTGTTGTATAGTCTTCTTTAGTTAGTATAGTGTCATGTATAATCTTGTATAGTGTCATAATTTTTATAGTTTTGTATAACTTTGTATATTGTTGTATATAGTGTCGTATATACAACCTTATATATTATTGCATAGTCTTGTATAACGTTGTATAGTGTTGTATAGTGTTGTATAGTGTTGTATAGTGTCGTATAGTGTCGTATAGCCTTTATATATTGTTATATAGTCTTGTATAATGTTATATAGTGTTTTATAGTGTCGTATAGCCTTGTATATTATTGTGTAGTATCGTATAGTGTTGTATACTCTTGTATAGTGTCGTATAGTCTTGTATAACGCTGTATAGTGTCGTATAGCCTTATATAGTGTTGTATAGTCTCGTATAACTTTGTATAGTGTTGTATAGCCTTGTATAGAGTATCGTAAATTCATTAATAAGTTCACCTGGTAACAAGATATGTAGCTTTTGACAGTTCTTTGTAAAAAAACATTATACAGACAGATAGGATATATAATAGTGTTTTGCGCTTCATTATTAATAGTGTTATGGTATATATAATAGTGTTGTTATAGTATACATAATAATGTTATGTTTCCATTGTTAATAGTATTAACAGTCCCTGGCTCTTGTGCATTATATTTATCCATTATTAATAGTGTTATTAACTGTGAGTCATTCCAGGTTATTACTCTAGAAGTGACCACACTTGACTTTGTGTCTAAGAATATTGCAAAATCCGCAAATTAACCTTAGTGACAATCGCATAATAGCTAAATGTGTGGAGGTAGCTCTGCGGGCCACATTATTATAAGTAATAGCATAAAAAAGGCGAATTAGCTATTAAAACGTCCCGCCCGATGAGGGTCGTTTAGTAAAATTCCCTTGGGCGCCGCTCGATGAGGGTCATTTAGTAAAATTCCCGAGGGCCGGACGTTTTCAATAGCTAATTCGCCTCTTTTTATGCTATTACCTTATAATAAATAATGGTAACAATAAACAATGGTAGAAATTAAATGGTATAATTGTTTTCCATGTCTTTGTTTAGTTTTGGCGATTTCAGATATCTTCAATTATATTCATTTTTTCTAATCGTACCCGCTTTGACGTCGTATCGGGTAGGATTAGAACTAATCCTACGTGACATGACGTAAAAGCGGGTAGGATTAGAAAAAATGAATATGATGAGGTGTATTAGTTTTTAATTGCCCTGCGAGAACAAAGGGAATACCCGCAATCATGATATTATACATATATTGTCGGAGAAATAAGCCGTGGAATGATCCATTATTACTTAATTTCTATTATATAGCTACTATTGTTTGGAGTGCTCAGAAAATGGACCCGTTTCATTGCAGAGAACTGTTTTCTTAATTTTAGACAATTAGAATATTGTTGTAACATATATGCACGCGATTGTTACAATAAAATACGATTTTCATTGTTTAAAAATTATAATAGTGTTATGTTTCCATTATATAGTGTTAATTAACCCAAAGTTTTGGCCGCGAGGCAGCACTTCCTTGCGTTAGTAACTTCTAGTATAATAATAATCTTTGTGTGTGTTATATGCAAATCAGTCTTAATGATTGCAGAGTTTTATAAAGTTTTGTTGACGCTCTATTACATCAGCCACTTGTCGTGCCAGCGACAACTAACGACCAAATGGAAACTAGGCTTTAGCGAATATTATTGGAAAGAGGGCTTCCATATACGTTGAAATCACGAAATAAACAGCTCATCGGTACACATTTGTCATTTCTCCACTTCGTCGTAAGTTTACAGAGCAGATTTTATACTTTGGGACTGATCTTTGTCTTTGATGTGACTATTTATTCTTATAGTTTAATTTAAAGTTATTTAAGATTGATCCTGTCGTAAGTGTTCTACCACCAACCAATCGACAATATTTCATTTTAGCGTTGTCTTTGCCGTAACGTTGTTGCCTTCGTGTTACTTTTGTTTTAAATACCTTGATCGCGTTAAAAGAGTTGGCTATTTTTCAGACCAGTGACATAGCCAAAGACTTCGCATTAATGTCCTTGTGATTTTATAGAGATATCTCTAGAACTGAGGCTTTTAGAAAGCGTTATCTGTACTTTCTCAAAGTTGTAGACAAGATATGTTGTTTACGTCCAACACGCATAAGATTGCATAACTCAAAATGAGTCGACCAAAACCGGTCTTTTGTTAAAAGGAAGACAACAAGGCCGAGTTGTCTATGAGCGAATAGTGAACGAGGCGAAGCCGAGTTGACTATTTGCTCATAGACAACGAGGCCGAGTTGTCTAATTGTTTTAGACAGTATAAACTTTAACATTAATTTACAACTAGGTTGCAAACACAATACAAAAATACACAAAAAACATTATAAAACCATTAAAGGTAAACAAATATTTTAGTTTTTGTTCGAGTAAAATGTTTTACAAAATTCAGTTTTAATTTTAAAATTTCATTGAGTGTATGTTATTTTGTCTATTTTCTTACCCTTAAAAATTACCATTCCATATTTTTGTTGCTTTTTTCGTTGTTTTTATTTAGTACAGAATTGTTAACAAGTCGTCCAAAAAATCATCACACACTTCGGCAAAAGTGAAAACGCGAATTTTCCGCCATTTTGAATTTTCTATTAGTAGGCTGTCACTAATAGCCTACTAGTAGCGTAGCCAATCAGAAGGCACGATAGATAGCCTACTAGTAGGTTTATACTAATAGAAATTGGTCCTTTTGAGTGACATAATCGTGTATCGTCATCGATCCGTGTCGCTGAACAATAAAAAATTTGTCGTGAAATTATTGAAGATAAAATAGCATTTTGTGAGAAAACTGCGGGTCTGTGAAAACTGCGGATTTGAACTCAGCGTGTTCGAAAGTGTTAGTTCCCGTAAAAATATTTCGATCAGATCTATAAGACATGCTTCATGAAAGTGAACGATATCGGGTCACAACACAAGGACTAATATGGCAATAAAAATTAACTTTGTCTTATTTGAAAGAACTTTCAAAGTTACATTTGAAGACCCTTTACAACTTTTTCGTACCTTGCTTGGTTTTCGAAATAGTTTGATCAAAATTAAACAGTATGCAGTCCACCATCTTGGTATTATAATTGACCTAATTAACTGAGTTTTGATGACGTCACAAGCAGGGTCCACTTGTTAAAACTTCTTCATGTGGGACTAAATTTCTTCGAAAAGTTTCTAAAAATGTTGTGAGTTAACTGTACTAAACTGTTGTGAGTACTAAAAGTTAACTGTTGTGAGTACTAAAAATACTAATAAAAATTTCGCTTTTTACCCTACTTGTGACGTATGCATATCGAATGCATATCCAAGATGGCGGAATAGCGTGCGCTGCTTTTGATCAAAATAAGTCGATTTATTTCGAAAACCAAGCAAGATACGGAGTAATTGTAAAGGAAGTTTATATATCGTAGTAAATGTTCTTTCAAATAAGACAAACTTAATTTATATTGCCATATCCCTTTAATCTTACGGTTGTTTGAAATGCGCCACATTGAAGATTATCAGTATATTTAATAATAGTCGGCAAAACGTATTCACTTCTCACCAATGCTCTTTGTCGAAGCAAGGAAAAGTTCGATAAAGTTAACTTTAAAATAATCAATGCAGATATCAGTAAATTTTCAGTAAAAAGATTTGAAAACGTAGTCCTGACTGTTTCTTACGTCGCTCTATCGTCGAATTTAATTCAGACAAATTTAATTATCCGTCATGCATGGTCAAGACGGATACGTTAAGATGTTAAAGTCTGTTTCTTTCTGTTGATCTCGTGGTTTTTATTTCTGGGTAATCCATGATCGCTAGTCATGAAATGAATTTGTCCGAATTAAATTCGTTGTTTGAAGCGAAACCATTTTAGGCCTGTTTCATACGTCGCACTATCGTCGAAAATTTAGACGAATTAATTAAACGAATTAAATGCGATGGTACGCGATAGTGCATCGTAATTAAATTCGTCGTTTGAAACAAAACCATTTTAATGTCGACCTAGAAATTCTAATGTCGACATAACAGGCCTAGAAACATCAATAAAAAATTTGAATTTGGAAAAATATGGCGATACAAAAAATATTTGAAAACTTTAAAAACATTGTTATTACTATACCTGTGGTTAACTGTGTTGAAAGAGAAAAAGAGACGTATTTGTCAGGTGTTTAGGGGAACTTATCCTGTTTCGTTTTTTCCAGGATGCACCAAGAAATGTGTGGGTGAGAAAGGTTAGAAAAGTAAAGAAAATTAAACTTTTAAATAAAGGTCAATGAAATTTATCGTTTCGAAATAAAATATTATTTTTATCATGTGTCTCTAAAATACTATCGTCCAATTTGTTCTTCAGGTGCTAAAGGAAAGAAAGGCAAACGTGGTAAGAATTGAAATGTTGAAATCCAGGAAATGTCAACAAAAATACAACACGAAAGATAATCAAATTTAAAAAATTCGCGTGGCGATCTAGCAACGGCAGCTGGTCATGCTATGCCAATCAACCTGCATCTAAATAGGTGAAAGACAATGCATCTGTAAAGTCATTAAAAATTTCCATGGCATGACTAGGACTAATTTACATCTGTACACGGGCTAGGAAATATCGTTATAAATGACATATAAATATATGTCATTTATAACGGTATTCCTGGCCTGTGTACAGGTGTAAAATTCATGTGAGAGAATACGGCTTAGAACATGTTGAATCATGCGTAAGTTTGCGTAAGTACAACAGTGCATAATATGGATGACCGCCACGTGACCTATCAAACTTGTATCATTTCTCATTTCCCAGGTGAACTTGGCAAGCAGGGCAAACCAGGACCTCAAGGATCTCGGGGATTTCCAGGGGCACGTGGGGATCACGGATACAGAGGGAATCAAGGACCTAAGGGAGACATAGGTGAAAAAGGAGAGAGGGGTAACGATGGTAACATGGGAAGAACAGGTGGAAAAGGGGATAAAGGTAAACATCACTTTCAAATGTTGTTCATCCACGAATTTTGCAAGCTTTGCCATCATTTGTTTTCTCCCCCTCCCACATTTGGTATATTTGAGGTAATAGCATGTCATATGTACGCTGTATGGCACGCAGGATGGAGCTTCTTAATACTGGTTCTAAATAGCATCAATGCGCATAAAAACACGTACTTTTTCAAAGAAAGCTTTAACAGCTAATTTAATAATTAATTAAATTTCACCCGAAAAAATTGGTTGCATCATGCAAAGTCCTTCTCAATCATTATAATTCAGACCATCTGAAGTAGTATATTTAACATGCCAAACATAACAAAAGATGTCTATTCCTAATGAAGTATTATTTTGTTATTTTAGGAGAAACTGGTAGCCCAGGAATGAACGGTCCAAAAGGTAGAAGAAAAACAATAAACCATAAATTAGACAGTTTTTTCCTAACTAGAATAGTTACTAGCGCGGGTAAGAGCTCTGTGCTAGTGGCTCATGGATTAAGTAAATCATGGATAAGTGAATAATAGTAGATAAGTATCCGTAAATTATCTAATAAACTACCACTCTCTAATATCGACCCAGAGTTTTGTAAGAAGTTCCTCTATATTAAATGCTCTCTATCTAATAAACATGTCCTCCCTCTAACAGGGGCATTTATTGTACATAATTAAACATATACCGGCAAGAGTTATTGGTTTGTTAGTATAGGTAATAGCATGGTTTCAAGTGCAATTTGGATATAACATTCACGAGTGAGTTTTTCAAAGATCTATTACTTATTAATAAACCATGAAACCATGCTATATAACTTATTAATAAATTACATAAAAATGTTCGAGACAATTGTAGTTTTAACTTACGTTTAAATAGCGAACATTCGCAAGTTTTCCTGGCTTTGTTATATCACATTATATAACGCTAACAGCTTGAACATTCCACTCAACTATGTAAGTTTTGTTAGTCTTGTTTAAGGTAAATGCTTTTCCATTTAACAATAAAGATAAAAGCCATATTTTTCAACCGAAGTCAACTTTCACTTTATGTAGCGCGGCGCCATGTTTGTTTTATTTTGAAGCAATCTGTGACTGTTACTTCTCTAAACTAATCTGCTTCAAACTAATTGGTTAATTTAATCATCACAATGTTTTCCCATGCACTAGTCGGATCAGTTTGTTACAGATTTTTGCACTGTGATTACAGAAAAATTGCACTGTAATTACAGAAAATTGCACTGTGATAACAAAACATTGCACTGTGATTACAGAAAATTGCACCGTGATTACAGAAAATTGCACTGTGATTACAGAAAATTGCACTGTGATGACAAAAAATTGCATTGCGATTACAGAAAATTGCACCGTGATTACAGAAAATTGCACTGTGATTACAGAAAATTGCACCGTGATTACAAAAAATTGCACTGTAATTACAGAAAATTGCACTGTGATAACAAAAAACTGCACTGTGATTACAGAAAATTGCACCGTGATTACAAAAAATTGCACTGTGATTACAGAAAATTGCACCGTGATCACAAAAAATTGCACTGTAATTACAGAAAATTGCACCGTGATTACAGAAAATTGCACCGTGATTACAGAAAATTGCACCGTGATTACAAAAAATTGCACTGTAATTACAGAAAATTGCACTGTGATAACAAAAAATTGCACTGCTGTTTGGGATTAACTGCACTGAAATCAACCAATCACAGTCGAATAATATATTTATGTATATATTATTAATTCAAAAATACTGAGTGTTAAAATGGAGTGCAAAAATAAACGCCTCACTAATAAACGTCCCCCAAAGCGGGGCATTTATCATGCATATCATTTACGGTATGTCGGTAAAGTGAAAAAGTGATCAACGGCGATTGTTAAGAATGTTTAAAACTACAGAATGCACATTGTATAATTACATAATGTGCGCATCAATAATGTATATAGAGGATATTAGACGGTTGCGAAGAGATATGGATTTTATGTTCGAGTGGCAAAAACAATATCTCACGAGTGAGCGCAGCGAACGAGTGAGATATTGTTTTTGACACGAGAACATAAATCCATATCTTCTCGCAACCGTTTAATGTTCTGTTTTTTTATATGGACTTACTCAGAGTGACAAAAATACACACAAAGACGACATGTAAATAAGCACGAGAAAGAGCAGTATAAAAGCGATATTTTTAAAAATTATAGTGCAAACATAAAACTAGAATAAAGTTTACTTATCTCAAGATGTCTTTTAAATGTTTTCGTTTTATTTCCAACGTTAATTTCGTTTTAAATACGAACCAAAGACCATTTGTCTTTTCAAAACAACAACAATGAAAATGGCGGGAAATTTTCGAACTTCGTATGTCACCAGCAGAGGTGAAATACGAAAAATACGCGCACCTAGCCCCGGATGTAGTGACGTATGAGTTCTACGAGTGTTTTAGTTTCCAGTAAAACACCATTGTCCATATAATAAAACAACATATTTTTCATTTTATCACATTGGCTGAATTGTTTGTTTCAGGTGACAGAGGACAGGCAGGACAAACGTTAATGGTTAGTTACCGGAGTAATAACTAGTGAAATAATTCATGTACGAAAATCTTGCGGATCTGGATAAATTTAATAAACTGTAGTTTTTAGTGAAACATGCCTTTTATCCGTCATCATTTTAGCTGCACAATCAAGGCAAAAATTCTGTGGAGTTACGTAGGCCTATATTACTGTTCTCATACACATGCATGCAGTTGGCGTCTTTGTCTCACCCGCTCCGTAAAATAGTGTTTTTTACAGGCATTTCACAAAGCTTTCACCTAATCAATTTATAAGCTGTCAACATTGAACAAGGCGGGAGTTAAAAATAGGTACGCAATGCGTACATGTGACTAGCCAAAAATAGTTGCTAACGAATTTTGGGACACTTAAATGTGCCAAATCAAAGGGTGGGTTGACTACAAAATTTTTGTAGTTCGCTATAACTACAGCTACTTCAAAAATATGTAGTCAGCTACAACTACTGCTACTTTTGAACAAAAGTAGTTCGCTACCGACTACAGCTACTGCTTAAAAAATGTAGCGAACTATTTCGCTATTTCGCTACTCTATATTTTTTAGTTTTACGGTATTTGGGCTCAGGCTGTAATTTAACCTATAACAAATCGACTTACGAGTAGCAACAGTAAACAAAAGGGTCAAAGCAACATTTTTGTAAGCACTATACAGTGTTCAGGAGTGCCACTTTTCAATGCGCTAAAATAATCTTTACTGTATAAAATAATCTTTTAAGCAAACCGTGTCTTAATATCATTATATTCTACGAAACGGTTGCTAACAATTTTAAAAAGTAGCGAATAGTGATTCGCTGTTTGAAAAGTAGTCAACTACTTGGCTATTTTTAGGCAAAATGTAGTTCGCTATAACTGCAACTACTGTTTTAAAAAAGTAGTCAAAAGCTACTGGCTACTTGAAAATGTAGTTCGCTACAGTAGCGAACTACAACTACTTCGCTACTACCCACCCTTGGCCAAATCACATAGCCAGGCCTGGTCATATGCATTTTACAGGCATGTGATATTAATTAATGCCAGGCGTGTGGTTGCAAAAATGACAAATCCCTTCCTGCCTGATTTAACTAAAAATATGGGCTTAACTAAAAACTAAAAGTATGAGTTACAAGTATGTGTATGTAAACTAATTAATTTTTAAATCAAGACATCAACACATTTGTAAGTTAAAAGTCATATAATACTCTTTAAACTAGGTTACCCACAGGGCAGTAATGCTGCCTTTGACAGCAAAAGACAAACTACAGGGTGTTGAACGAGTCCTTCAGAAACATCCTATTATTGTTTAGCCTGCATGGCAGGCGGTTCCTAAAATAGGGCAAGCCTGGGAAATACCACCTGTCATGCAGGCTAATTATTGTTATCCTTGTTAACCCATTTATTGACAGTACCCTACCACTGACTGAGTATTAAAAATCGTCTGGCGTTGGACAGGGTAAATACTAAAGTAGGGGTCATTACTGTGCTGATGAATTAACAAGAGCCATTGGCAGATAGGTTTGTTAACCCATTTACTGGCAGTACCCTATACCACTGACGAGTAAAATCTTCTGGCGCTCGACAAGGGAAGGGCGCATTGCCAGCTAATGGGTTAAACCACCGTGGTTAAACATAAGATTTCATGATGCTCCAGGAAATGTAAACAAGCTATCAGTGTGACATCCCAGTTTATATATTTATATACTCGGAATATTGATTTCTCGGTACATACAAAATTATTTTAAAGTATAACAACCAGCGAAGACGTAAGGCACTAACTACCCTGCGCGGCTGCGCGCAGACTATATAACGACATATATATGTCATCCGTCCGTCCGTCCGTCATTCATCCGTCCGTCCGTATCCGCGTTTTATCCTAACCCTTTTTAAAACACAAAGTTTGCATTTAATTAAGGCAGTGCGGTTCGTCATGATCAATATTTTCAAAAGCGGCCAATTAGACCAGGGGTTAAAGGGCAATGACAATGACATGCAGGTGACATTTAACATTGCGTCTCACTAATTAAAATTTGCGTGTTTAATAGTGTTTATCAAAGAAAGCAAAAATATATACAAGACAATCTCACATGTGGAGTTTTTTCACTTACAGTACGTACTGCCTTGTGATGCAGTACAAGTATAAATACAAATGACAAAGCATTTGTAAATCCTAAAACACAATAAAATAATACGGCACATTTAAGATTTTAATATCGTATTTCAGCTGCGTTTATACTGTTTGGCGCATTCGCTGCGTTATATTCATTTACATGTATATACACAGAAAAGCATGTCATTGTCCTTGCAGACCATAGGATCTGCTGCCTTGCTCGCTCGCTTCAGGCTCGCTCGCTGCGGCAGCAAGAACAGAAATTATTTGAATAACATATTTTTAGAAATTGGCCAGTGTAAACACGTTGGTTCCGGAGTGTTGGCAACTCTTCACAACAGAACAGTTTGCAAAATCTAAAAATTACAGATATAATATATGATATAAGTACTTTGGCGGACACTTTACAAAACAGTAATGGGGGTTAGGGGCTTGGGTTGCCAAGATATAACCACGCATTTCATTGTCGCAAACCTTAATTCTTAGAACCTTTTTGGCCTCCTATAGCTTTTCAAGGATTTTATGATAGTAAAATCATTGATACAGCCTTGTTACACAGTTAAACAGATATTATTCAAAGGCTTTGAGAAATTATTGGGGGGGGTGGGGGTGCCCTTCGCCTCCTTAGTCTTTGTCACTGTCAAAATAGTGGTTAATTGAATTTTTACCGAAGGTTATATAGCGCTAATCCTGCTTGGCCTTTGAACACCTGGCACTGGTATTTACAGTGGCGGCGCCAGGGGGGGGGGGCATTTGAGGGGCAAACTCATATTTGGG